TGAGGTATCACCTCACACTTGTCAGAATGGCCGCCATCAACAAATCATCAAACAACAAGTGTTGGAGAGGGTGTGGAGAAAAGGGGACTCTAGTACACGGCTGGTGGGAATGCAGACTGGTGCAGCCACTATGGAAAACATTATGGTGTTACCTCAAAAAATTAAAAATTGAACTTCCATTTGACCCAGTGATCCTACTTCTAGGAATATATCCTAAGAAGCCTGAAACACCAATCAGAAAGAATATATGTACCCCCATGTTTGTAGCAGCATTATTTACAATAGCTAAGGTCTGGAAACAGCCCAAGTGTCCATCAGTAGATGAATAGATAAAAAAGCTGTGGTACATGTACACAATGGAGTACTACACAGCTGTAAGAAAGAAAGATCTCTTATCCTTTGAGACTACATGGAGGGACCTGGAAAGTATTATCCTAAGTGAAGTAGCCAAACAGAGAAAGACAGGTATCATATGATCTCACTTATTTGTGGAATATAATGAACATAACAGTCTGAGGAATGCGGTAGTCCCAGAGACGTGGAAGTGGAGTACAGACGGACAATCCCCAGAAGAGGGAGTGGTGGGGGAGAGATAAACCACAGAACTTATATGCATGTATGCATGAACAATGGACATGGACAACAAAGCTGGAGACTGGACAGGGAGGGATGGGGAGGTGGGAATCAGTGGGGGGAAAAGGAGAAACATCTGTAACAAAAATTAATTAATAAATAAAACACAAAAACATTTTTACCACCTACTCAGAGGAGCCTATGGATATACCAGGCCCTAGAGTGTCATGTGCAGTAGGGCTGTGTAGCATATTATCACCTATGCTATTAACTCACTCAAGAATGAAATGGTAGTCCATGACATCTTGCTGAAAACAGCTGTATACTATTTTTTGCCTCCAGGTAGAAATATTTTATGATCCTTAAATGAGCCTAATATAACTCAAGTTTTATGTACTCTAAAAGTCCAGACAGTTCTCCAATAGTTCCCAATATAAGAACTTCATAAAACATAAATGTAATTGAAAAAACACACCTGAAACCCAAGATACTATTTAAAAATCATTGTTATTCTGGAAACCATATGCACAGAGTTGGATATTGGGGAGTTAGAATGTTTAGAAAAAACTAAATATTAGAAATTTTAATTTTAGTGTGACAAATGTTGATAAGTATAATGCACATAAGCAAAAGATCTTTGAGGTCCTCAGTAATTTTTGCATATAAAGTGGTACTGAGACCAAAAAGTTTGAGAACTGCTATTTGCCAGTATCCAGCACTTCCATCCTATCATTTGTCAACCACCAGGTGTGTCTCCCCTGAGCTGTACCTGTGTTTTTGACAGTTGAGTCACCAAAACCTAGTACAGTGCCTGGTACTAAGCAGGAACTCAATAAGTATCCACCCAATTAAAAATTATACACATATGACAACTAAACTACAAAACAACCACCATTCAGAACTGCCTGACATTGAGCTGAAATGGAAGTCCTACAACTACAAAATTAAAGAAGAAGCCACATCGAGACTGGTAGAAGGTGGGGAGGCTCGGACAGGCTGGTCCCACACACACACATGTGGTGGATAAAAATCAGGAGGGATACCTTGGCTGTGAAGGTCATCCCTGAGGAGTGGGGGTCCATGTCCCACACCAGGCTCCAAGCTCAGGGTTCCAGTGCCAGGAAGAGAAGCCCCCATACCTTCTGGCTGTAAAAACCAGTGGGAACTGAGGCTGAGGGAGAATGAGGCTGCTGGAGCGCCAGACAGTTCCTCTTAAAGGGCCCTCCACCGACTGACTGGGACTCACTCCTAGGTTCCAGCGAAGAACTGAATTGTTCAGCATTGGGAGGGGCAGATTTCTCCTGGACAGACTTGCTCGTGGAGGCAGTTGTTCCTTTGATGAGCCCTTCCCTGGGGCAGCAGATGGCAGCCGTATCTGGGACTCCAGCAACCTGGCCCACACTGTTAGCCCCACCCTGGTGATTCCCTGTGGCCCTGCCCCACCCAACCTTCAGGCCCACCCAAGCTATTTCCAATGGCTTTACCATAGTATTGGACTGTCTTGGATCTTGCTTCAGATGTTCCTAAAATCTCTGAAACAAGCAGCACCTGGACTCAGCGAGCTCCATACCTCTCGTTAAGTGGCCCCAGGCCTGACACTAGAAGCAGCCAGCCTTGGTTCACAGCTTGTTTTTTCCTGGGCACCTCCAAACCCATTACTAGAAGGAGCCATCTGCAGATCACTTTGCAGCTTATGCTAGGTGGCCCTGGGTAGAAAGAAGCTGATATTGCCCCAGAGCCAGGACACCCAGTGGACATCTTCAGACCACATCGAAGCACCACCACAAGTGACACACTCAAGAAGTGGACTCAGTGGGTACCAGAGCCCTGCTGAAGTACTCTTGCTCTGTGTGTTGGGCTCTTACACCACTGATCCTCCAAGGTAGTCAGAGACCAGTGGTCAGTGGGCACAGCCAGTCCTTGCAGCTGATCAGCCTGAGTAAATCCCTCTCATTGATGTGCCAACAGCAATCAAACCTCAATTACAACAGAAGGGTGTACAGTCCACACTAGGGGTGCACTCAAGGGCCCAGCTGGGGTGATCAGGGAGGCTGTGCCACTGGACCTTACAGAGCACCTACAACAAATAGGCCACCCTATGAAGCCTAGGATGCATAGCAACTCTACCTAATACATACAAACAAACACAGGGAAGCAGCCAAAATGAGGAGACAAAGAAACATGTCCCAAGAGAAAGAACAGAACAAAATTCTAGGGAAAGAACTAAACAAAATGGAGATAAGCAATCAATCAGATGCAGAATTCAAAACACTGGTTATAAGGATGCTCAAGGAACTTAATGAGACCTTCAAGGAACTTAAGGAGAACTCCAAGAAACTCAGTGAGAACATCAACAACATACAAAAGGACCAGTCAGAAATGAAGGATCCACTAACTGAAATAAAGAATAATTTACAGGAAATCAATAGTAGAGTACATGAAGTCAAGAAGCAAACCATTGAATTGGAGTATAAGGTAGCAAAAAACATCCAATCAGAACAGCAAAAAGGAAAAAGAATGAAAAAATAAAATGAGTATAAGGAGCTTCTGGGACAACGTCAAGCATACCAACATTCGCATCATGGGGGTGCCAGAAGGAGAAGAGAGAGAGCAAGACATTGACAACCTATTTGAAAAAATAATGATAGAAAACTTCCCTAACTTGGTGAAGGAAACAGACATACAAGTCCAGGAAGCAGAGAGTCTCAGACAAAATGAACCCAAAGATGTCCACAGCTAGACACATCATCATCACAATGCCAAAGCTTAAAGACAAAGAGAGAATCTTAAAAGCAGCAAGAGAAAAGCAGATAGTTACCTACAAAGGGGATCCCATAAGACTGTTAGCTGATTTCTCAAAAGAAACTTTTCAGGCTGGAAAGGAGTGGTAAGAGATATTCAAAGTGACGCAAAGCTACGACCTACAATCAAGATTACTCTATCCTGCAAAGCTATCAAAACTATCATTTGGAATCGATGGACATATCAAGAGTTTCCCAGACAAGAAAAAGCTAAAGGAGTTCATCACCACCAAACCAGTATTATATGAAATGTTGAAGGGTCTTCTTGAAGAACAAAAATATAAACAATAAAATGGCAATAAATACATATCTATCAACAATTGAAACTACAAACAAATTAGCAAGCAGAATAGAAACCAACTCATAGATACAGAGAACTTTTTGTTGGTTGCCAGATTGGAGGGTTTTAGGGGGATGGGTGAAAAAGATCAAGGGATTAAGTTGGTTGTTGGACTGATGAACCTCAAAGGGAAGGGGATAGGGAGGGTGGGATGAGATAAGCCAGAGAACTTCTATGCTTATATGCACAACTAATGGACAAAGACAATAGTGTGGGGAAAGCAGGAGGGGGATGGGATTAGGGAGGAGGGGGTCAATAGGGGAAAAAAGGGGGACATCTATAATACATTCAACAATAAAGATAAGTTAAAAATAAAAATAACAATTATACACTCCTTGCCAGGCTGGTGCAGCTCAGTTGGTTGGGCCTCCTCCCATGCACCTCAAGAGGTCACTGGTTTGATTCCCCCTCGGCCTGGGTTTTAGGCTCCATCCCTCATCCTTGTTTCTCTCTCATCAATGCTTCATTCAATCTCTCTCCCTCTCCTTTCCTCTATATCTAAAATCAATAAAAATATATTTTGAAAAATTATACACTCCTTCATTTTCAGCTATATGTGTCATTTCTGGGAAAAGCAAGTTGTTTTGAGAAACATTCTGTCTTTCTCGAAGAAAGAAAAAACAATGAAGTTAGTGAGTAAAGCTGGTGTTTACACTTGGATGTGTCAGGTTTGGAGCTTGAGCACCTCCGAATCATGCAGTACAAGAAGCAAGCAACTAACTGCTGCACTCCCTCCCTTTCCACAGAGTCCATCCTAGGCCTGAGGAAGGTACCAGAGAAAGCAGGGGCTGGGGCTTGGAAAAGTCTGGCCCTTCCACCCATAGCTCCTTCCTTCACTCACTCATCCACCACGTGTTAGATATCAGACTCCATGCTAGGAGCTTAGGCTACCAAGATGCACTGGAACCCATGCCTATCTTAGGGAATCAGGGAGAAACAGGTAAAAACAAAAAAACGTTTCCCATGCGCAGGAGGGGCCTTTGGGCCAAGGAGGCGCGGCTTTCTCTCAGCAAGACCATCCAGTTACGTTCGCCCCATGCACCCCCCTCAAGATGGCGGCGCCCCGACATCCGTCCTCCAGGTATGAATTTTCCCACGCTTTCGGGCTGCCGGAGCCCGGCCCAACCATGCCGGCTGTGGGCCCTAGCACCCCGTGTCCCACGCCGGCTCAAGGCGGTGCGCGTGGCAGCCGCGCGCGCCCTAGCGCTCCGCCCCTTGGATCCCGCGCCCAGTCCTGCGTCTGCGCGGGTTGACGCCAACATGGGCGTGTCGGCGCGACCCTAGACGTCTTGACGCGCCGACAATGGCGACTGCGTCAATCTGAGCGGGCCTCCATTCTCAAGTCGTTTTCTGACGTTGCCTCGGAGCTGCAGTCCTCTGAGACCCGGTAGGCGGTGGCGGAGGCGCGTGTGCGCGCTCTCGCCGCACCCTGGATCTAGTGGCTGCTGTGAGGTCGGGCGGAGTGAGCCAGGTGGGCGGTGGCTCAACCAAGCGGGGAGCATGGGGGCGCGCGCGGCGGGCGGGTGGGCGGCGGAAGCGGCGGTTCCGCTGGGTGGGTCGACCTCCCGGTGGCTGCTGGGGCTCTGCGGGGAGGCTCGTGGGGGGGGCGAGTATGGCAGTATCTCATTTTCTCTTTTCTACTCTAGCCTCATCTCGGTCTCTCACCTGACTGGACTGTGCTCCTGGGCTAAGTCGGCAACATGAGCGCTAACAGCTTGGATGGGAGAGACGACTTTGATGAGCAGTTGCGAATGCAAAAATTGTACGGAGACACCAAGGACGGAGACACCCAGAAAGATCCTGGTGGAGAAACCAGTTCTTTGGGACAGCAGCCAGATGACACCCCCTACGAGTGGGACCTGGACAAGAAAGCTTGGTTCCCCAAGGTAAGTGTTTGTCACTGGTGCCTCTGTAGAGCAGGCCGCTGGGCCAGCCTTGTTTTCTTTTCGAGGTCTTGGGGTTAGAGCCCCCATGGGTAGTGGCCGTTCTTTTTGTTCTGTTGTTGCAGAACCAATGTGTAAAGGTACGAAAATCTTTAGGGAGATGTCTTAAATGTAATTTAATGACAAATTTTTTTCTACGCTTTATTAACTTTATCTGTGAAGGTCACAGTTGGTTATTACATTGTTGACTGCTTTTTATTGCAAGAAGGAAAAACACCAAGAACAAACTTGGTGGCTGTTATTCTCAGGGAGCCAACCTCACTTATCCTGGGAATTCAGATGTTTGGCTTATTTACTATGTGTTAAATGCAGCTTCTTGATTTTTTTTTTTAACTAGCAATTTATATGGAATTACTGATTGAACTTTGTCTGCACATCTATTTTCTATTAAATTTTGGCCCTAGACACATGCATGAACCATGTAACCACAGAAATATGACCAGAGATGCACAGAATATGGGTTGACAAGTTCCGTGTATGTTTATGTAGAATATTTGGAAATTATTAAGCATTTTATTTCAGCTTAATTTCAATTAAAGAACTAGAGTTAGACTCGGTTCAAGTATCCTGTTAATCAGATTCTCATATGGGTGGGGAAAAGGATACCAAATAGCGCACTAATTGACTTGCAAGCCTGTAATAACGAAACTTGTCTCCGTTGTATAACTTTAAAAAATTATTCAACTTCTTTCTTTCCCATTTTGTGTTTCTGTATACATTCCAATCCCTTCAAATTGTTAAATATACTAGTTGATTCTTGAATGACTGGGGTTCGAACTGGGTCCTCTTATATGCAAACTTTTTTATCTTGTATACAGATCACATAAAATTATGGTATCAGTAAATGTAATACAGTATTGTAAATGTGTTTTCTCTTATGATTTTCTTAATAATCCTGTAGCTTTAAGAATACACTATACACCCTGGCCAGTGTGGTTCAGTTGGTTGGGTGTTGTTCCATGCACCGAAGGGTTGCCAGTTCCATTCCAGGTCAGGGCACATGCCTAGATTTCTGCCTCAGTTGCCGGTGGGGGGCATGCGGGAGGCAGATCAATGTCTTGCTCTCACATTGATGTTTCTCTCTTTTCTCCCTTCCTCTCTCTCTAAAAATCAGTTTAAAAAATCTTTAAAAAAGGAATACAGGCCCTGGCCGGTTTGGCTCAGCAGTTAGAGCGTCAGCCTGCACACTAGAGAGTCCTGGGTTTGGTTCCTGCTAAGGGCACATACCTCCGTTGCAGTTTGTCCCTGGCCCCTGTTGGGGTTATGTGAGTGGCAACTAGTTGATGTATCTCTCTCACATCGATGTTTCTCTCTCTCTCTTCCTCTCTTTCTCTCCCTCCCACTGTATCTGAAGACAAATGCAAAAATGTCCTCGGGTGAGGATAAAAAAGAAGAATACAGTATACAATATATATAACACAAAATATTTATTAATTGACTTTATGCTATCAGTAAGGCTTATGGTCAACAGCTACAGTAGTAAAGTTTTGGGGGAATTAAAGGTTATACGCAAATTTTTGACTGAGTGAGGTGTTGACATCCCTAACCCCTGTGTTGTTCTAGGATCAACTGTACTTTACTCCTGTACTGTAGTGCTAGCTCGAGTGCAGATTTGTTTATTTCAGCCTCTGAGTTCTTTTAACAATAGTCTGATAATTAAATTACCTCGTAAGTATCTTTTTATGCTATGTAAGCCCATATCTCTTCAAACTTTGAGTTTAAAAATGTTCCCATTCCTGTGTGTGCCTAACATCGATTGGTATGAAGATACAACTACATTTCTTCTTTTTTTAAGTCTTTTTTTTCTTTATTGATTTTTAGAGAGAGAAGAAGAGGGAGGGAGAAAGAGATAGAAACATCTATGAGAGGGAACATCTATTGGCTGCCTCCTGCATGCCCCCCACTGGGGATTTGGCCCATAATCTGGGCGTGTGCCCTGACTGAAAATCGAACCAGCGACCTCTTGATGCATGGGTCGACACTTAACCACTGAGCCACACCAGTCCTGCATATATATATAACTACATTTCTTGTATTGTGCAGTAGTGCTTTTTTCCCTGAAAGCCAAGAAGATAGATTGGATTTGTTGTTAACTTTTATGACTATAAATGATAATATGATTTAATTATTGATAAAGTTAAAATAAGCATTTACTGTTGTTAGCCCCATTCTTTATACACCAAATCAAAATTCCATTCTGTTCTTTTTGCATACAGATTCATGAATATTTAGTGTATGGAGGCAGAAGAGGGCATAGAGGTTATAGATGGTGATGGAAAAAATAAAATAAAAATTTTAAATATTAAAAAATATTTAGTATATGTATACTTTTGTACATCTGTATAGTTAAAGAAAAATTATTCTGTTGTTAGATTGCTAGTTGGCTTTTGGTTTTTATTCTGTTTTATTGTTATCTGGTCTTTCTTTTGTTATATGTTCTTGTGGCCTTACCCAAGTAGACTGTAGCGACGTAGTAATTTATAAATGAAACAACTGGAAAGGTGCCAACATCATTTAAAATAACTTAGTAGTATCTCAGACTTTTGTGTTGAAAATCCAAGTACCCATGTCTTATTTTTTTTAATCATTTTATGCTGTTTTCTATATACAGGGTGGGGCAAAAGTTGGTTTACAGTTGTGAGCATGAAAAACAGAGTTTATTCTTGGATTATTATTTATTAATTAATGTATTATTTTCTATGTGAACAACTGTGAACCTAGTTTTGCCCCACCCTATAAGATGAGTATTCTTGCATTTGCACTTTATTACTACGACAATTATCCACAGAAACACTTCTATAACTGAATATGCTGTAATTGAACACAGTGTAAATTATTCATAGAAGAAAATAATTTTTTAATTTTTCTATATGTGTGTGTTTTATTTCTTGTTCAGATCACTGAAGATTTCATTGCTACATATCAGGCCAATTATGGCTTTTCTAATGATGGTGCATCTAGCTCTACTGCAAATGTCCGAGATGGTAATGCTAGGCCTGCAGAGGAACCTCCACAAAGAAAAACCCCTGAACCCACTGATCCCAAAAAGAGGGGAGAGAAGAGAAAGGCTGAATCAGGCAAGTGGATTTAGCTTGCAAAACATGAGTGTAAAAATTAAAAATGTGAGTGTGTGTATATATAGTTGTTTTTGGAGAATTATAATGGCTTTGAAGGAATCATTGAGATGGGCTTTTACAAATTATTATTTGGGCCCTGGCCAGTTTGGCTCAGCGGTTAGAGCATCAGCCTGCATTCCAGAGAAAACCCGGGTTCGGTTCTCGCTAAGGGCACGTACCTCTGTTGCAGTTTGTCCCCGGCCCTGGTGGTCATGCGGGTGGCAGCCACTCGATGTGTCCCTTTCACGTTGATGTTTCTCTCTCTCTCTCTCTCTCTCTCTCTCTCTCTCTCTCTCTGTCTCTGTCTCTGTCTCTACCTCTCTCTCCTTCCCACTCTATCTGAACAAAAAAATGGAAAAATGTCCTCGGGTGAGGATTTAAAAAAAAAATTATTATTTGGATTCCTGTGTTGGCTCTTGCACTAACTTGTTGTGGGTGTTGAGTGGGCTGTTTAAATGCTATGCCTCAGTTGCTTCCTTTGCAAAATAGAGCTATTATTAGGATTATCAAAAGTTACATTTGTAAGGTTATTTTTTATACTTTTTAAGTTTAATTAAATTGAATTTAAGTCAGTTTTTCTTCAGCTTGGCCATGTCTAACATAGTAAGTGGATTGGAGTCAGAAGCAACTTAATTAGAAGGCCTAAAGTCAGTGCAAGGATGAGTTTTTTTGTTTTTTGTTTTTTTTTAAGTATCAGAATCATAGCCTAAGATTTGGGAGCAGCCCAACTGCCTATCAGTAAATGAGTGGATAACATTTAGGAAATGGAATATTACTCAGCTGTTAAAAAAGAGAAATCTTATCTTCTGCGATAGTATGGATGGACCTGGAGAGTATTATGCTGTGTGAAATAAACCAGCCAGAGAAAGGCAGATACCATATGATTTCAATTACATACAGAATCTAATGAACAAAATAAACTAACAAAATAGAAACAGACTCAGATAGAGAGAACAGATTGACAGCTGTCAGAGGGGAGGGAGTTGGGGGGCTGAGTGAAAAAGGTGAAGGGATTAAGCAGAAAAACAAACAATCCTCACCCTGGCCAGTATGGCTCAGTTGGTTGAACTTTGTCCTGTGCACCAGAAGGTTACCAGTTTGATTTCAGGTTGGGGCACCTGCTCAGGTTGCAGGTTTGGTCCCAGTTGGGGTGTGTACAGGAGGCAACTGATTGATGTTTCTCTCTCACATTGATGTTTCCTTCTTTCTCTCTCTGTCTCCCTCCCTCTCTCTGTAAAATCAATTAAAAAGAAAAAACCTCATAGACACAGACAACAGTATGGTGATTACCAGAGAGAAAGGAGGGGTGGGGGGAGGTAGAAGAGGGTAAAGGGGGGATAAATGGTGATGGAAGGAGACTTGAGTTGGGATGGTGGGATGATGTATTACAGACTTATACACCTGAAACCTATATAATTTGATTAACCAATGTCACCCCAATAAATTTAGTAAAAAATTTTTAAAAAGATAAACTAGCTCTCTTTTTTTAGATAGGGTTCAGAAACATTATCTGTCAAAAGTGCCAAATATATTGAAAGCTGGACAGTAGTTTGAATTAGTCTATTTTTTCTACGGGTAAGAATTAAGTTCCTGAAAGTTTTGAGAAACTATCACCCTGTTAAGATTTTATGTGACTTTTACCTTTTCTTGCATGTGTTTTATTTATTTATTCATTTTGATTTTTAGGATGGTTTCATGTTGAAGAAGACAGAAATACAAATGTATATGTGTCTGGTATGTATACCTTTTTAAATAGATTTAGAATAGAAAATACTTAATTTTGATACTTTTCACAAAGTGATTTTTAGTTTTTAGTTTCTCTAAAGTTTGTTTCTTATTGTGTAATATTTTTGTTCAACTTTTTACAGTAGTGAGAAATATGCTTGTTGTTTATTACAAAACTAAGGAAAATTAAGTGTATGTAACTTTGCATTGCCATCCTTTCTGTCTGCTTTAGGTTACTTGTGGCAGTTTGTCCCTTCAGATTCATTGATATAAGGCCTAGGCAAAACATAGTTTTAATATATGTTGGAATTCATTAAAACATGAAATTTCCTCAATTCTGTAGATGTGATATTTTTACATACATTTAGAAAATCAAAATTGTGCTCATCTAAAGTTGTAGCTTACTAATTGGTAGAATGCTAAGTAACTCTCACCTTTATTTAGATACCTTTATAAATTAAAACAGTTTTTACTAATGTTAATAGGTTTGCCTCCAGACATTACACTGGATGAATTTATACAGCTCATGTCCAAGTTTGGCATTATTATGAGAGATCCTCAAACAGAAGAATTTAAGGTCAAGCTTTACAAAGATAATCAAGGAAATCTTAAAGGAGATGGGCTTTGCTGTTATTTGAAGGTTAGTTATGTGGTGAGATAAGTTTCTTTTATCTCCATTTTTAAGTCAAGAACCAGGGCCATAATTTTATATAGATGATTACTAAGACAGAGAACTATTCAAAATAGGATGTGAAGAAAACTGAAATTTCAGATTGAGCCGTGTGTATCACATTGATAAAGTTATTCTTTTATCTAAGAAACTATAGTATCAGGTCAAAGTATTATGTAAGTTATATAACCAAAGTGCTTTTGTCTTAAAAGAATTCTCACTGCACAGATCTCTTTCAGAGTATATGCATATAGTCAATTTAGAATGCATATTTCAAAATCCACAAGGAAAAAAAAAGCCAGTAATATTTTATTTGTTCATATGAATGAATTAGACCAAGGATTGGCAAACTCCAGCCCACTGCCTGTTTTTGTTAAAAATTTTTAGAACACGGCTGCATGTATTTATTTATGCATTTGTCTGTGGCTACTTACATATTTCAAAAGTGGAGTTGAGTGGTTGCAGCACGAACCTCGTGGCCCACAAAATCTAAAATATTTACTAACTGGCTCTTTACAAAAGAAGTTTTCTGACTCCTGAGTTAGACCATAAAGGAGATAATAGCTTATACTTACTGTTTCAAAATATCTTTTTAATGGGAGAGAATGGTATTAACAGAAACGGCAGAACTTGATTCATGGCGTCATCAACTGCACAGGGAAAGCTCAGTGTTAAAGGCATTCATCATTTCTGGAACACCTATCATGCTAGGAGTAGGTGATACCCATTATTGTATAGTATAAAAGAAATGGGCATGATGATGACATACACGTATATCATAGGGCCTGAAAATAATTACAAACTAAAATCAAAGTTAAACAACAGTACCAATATCATGGATATGTTGTGAATGTAGAGCATTTCAGTGAAATCAGAAGGGGGTAAGATTAAGCTGACAGCTTTTTGGGAGATAGGTTCTGACATGTTTTTTTAACATGATGGGAATGGGATATAAGCTTGACCATTATAGGAAGGTAGTTATATAATTTTCACATGGAGTTTGAAAATTAGAAGTTTTTCAAGGATTATGAAAAGTCTGAACCGATTTTTAGGGGGCTTGATTGGATTATGTTACAGATCTACATTTTAATTGGTGAACAAAAAAATTAAAGGCTGGCTGTGCTATTCCCTGTTACTTGAGTCATCTAGTCTTTTAAGAAGGAATATTTTAGAATTTTAAAACTGGAATGCACCTTAGAAATCACACAAGTTCATTTGCCTTATTCCCTACTTAAGAAATTGAGACTCCAAGAAGCAAAACTACTTTAGTAATGATAGAATTTATTGAGCAACTACCATATGCCAGTCACTATTCTTTATGTGTGTTACATTTAATTTTGTCAAGAACCTGTAATGAAAGCATTACTACTTCCATTTTACAGATGAAAAAACCTGGGGTTCAGAGAACTTGAATAATTTGCCCAAGTTCACATGGCTAATTGGGGGCAGCTATGTCTTGAATGCAGGTTTCCTGAGATGCATTCTAGAGTTCTTTATCCCAAAGTGGGTAGTTATGTTTAAAATGTTAGTGTATGTATTAGTCATCATTCATTTTAAAAAAACTGAAGTTTTATTTCAGTATGTACCTTACTGACTGTGTCTTGTTTTCCCTTTATAAAGAGGGAATCTGTGGAGCTTGCATTAAAAATTTTGGATGAAGATGAAATTAGAGGCTACAAATTACATGTTGAGGTGGCAAAGTTTCAACTGAAGGGGGAATATGATGCCTCTAAGAAGAAAAAGAAGTGCAAGGACTACAAGAAAAAGCTATCTCTGCAACAAAAGTTTGTGTTCTTTTTAAAGATTTCATATAAATATCTTAGAATATGCTTTTCGTAATAGCCACCTAGTTTTGCTCCATCAAATATAACTGCAAATTATTATTTTGTAAAAATATTTTCTTTATTGATTTTAGACAGGGAGAGAGATAGAAACATCCATGAGACAGAACATCGATTGGCTGCCTCCTTCATGACCCCCACTGTGGATCAGGCCCACAACCTGGGCATGTGTTGTGACTGGGAATTGAACCAGTGACCTCTTGGCACATGGGTCGACACTCAACCACTGAGCCACACCAGCAAGGCTACAAATTATTTTTAAAGAATTTCATTAGGTCATCAGGAACCTTCAATAATCTGTACCATAGGATGATTTGGCAGCAGTGGTGCTTTTCATTTTCTGGGGTGTTCATTTGTAATACAATGGGGACTTAAATGAGATAGAGCTATCTCTTAAGAAGATGTTGAACATCAGATTCAGTAAGATAGTTTAGGCTTGTATACCAGAGCCATTAGTTCATTTTCAATGTGAATTGAAATCAGTTACACCAGAAGCTGAATTTTTACATATAGGTTTGTAGGAGGAATTAGAAAATTGAATTGATAGGTTTTATCACTGTACTTAATATATATTATATATAGTATATACATAATGCCATCAGTTTTTGTTAATCCATTTGTTTAATACGTGTTTTGAAATATGCTAGTTTTAAGAAATTAGCTAAAATGCTAAGTACTTTTATCACAATGAGTTCTGATAACACTTCTAATACTGCTTAAACTATTGATAAAGTGGTCATAAAGCCATTTAGTTGTGATATCCTGTGTTTTTTTTTAATATTTTTTTTATTGATTTACTTTAGAGAGAAAGGAAGAGAGAGGGAGAGAGAGGTAGAAATATGGATGAGAGAGAACATCGATTGGCCGCCTCCTGCACACCCCCCACTGGGGATCGGGCCCACAATCGGCATTTGCCCTGACCAGGAATTGAACTGGTGACCTCTTGGTGCGTGGGTCAACGTTCAACCACTGAGCGACACTGACCGGGCATGTCCTGTGGTTTTTATGGGAATAGTTAAAACAGATACCTGCAAATTTTATAAACAGTATCAGTAAAATTTAAGATTGTAACAACAAAGAATGAGTAGTTTTATGTATTTCAATGCAGTTTGTCATAGTCATAAAATGCCTAAAAAACAATACAATTTGAACATATTTTCGGCCTCAGAGTAAATCTTTTTTTTTAATTTTCTTTTTAATCCTCATCTGAGGATATTTTTCCATTTATCTTCAAATATAGTGGGAGGGAGAGAGAGAGAGAAACATTGATGTGAGAGAGACACATCGATTGGTCGCCTCCTGAACGACCCCAACAAGAGCTTGGGACTGAACTGCATTTGAGGTATGTGCCCTTGACTGGAATTGAACCCAAGACTCTTCAGAATTTCATGGGCTGACACTCTAACCACTAGCCAAACTGACCAGGGCTCTTACATAATTGTACATACTTAATAATTAGCAATTTTTCAGGAATATCATTGGAATATTTGTACCCAGACAGCAGTTCTGAAAAAATATACAGGGTGGGACAAAAGTAGGTTTACAGTTTTGAGTGCAAAACACAGAGTTTATTTTTGTATTATTATTTATTAATTAATGTATTATTTTCCTTATGAACTACTGTAAACTTACTTTTGCCTCACCCTGTAATAGTCTGGGGATTTCAAATACTGGGTCCACCTTTCACCTGCCCATTATTTTTATTCCAGTAAGTTCTCTGAATGGTAGTATGACTAAAATAGACAACGTTGTCTTGGAATCAAATAATTATCATTAAATACTCAATAAAGATTATTTCTACTTTATGGCATTAGGCAGTTGGATTGGAGACCTGAGAGAAGGGATGGGCCATCCAGAATGCGCCACGAGCGAGTTGTCATCATCAAAAATATGTTTCATCCTATGGATTTTGAGGTAGGGTACAATATTCTTACTGATTACAACATTGATATGCCTTCTTTCAAGGGAGCCCAAAGCTTGCCTGCCCCCATCTTTCTCATGTCACATCCTGTACACTTATGTAGTCCTCAAGGTAAGAAAACATAGCCAAGAATCAGTTAAACTTTTTGGATTTTCTCTTGTTTACCTCAGTGTTCTTTTAATTGTATCACAAGGAAGACTATTTACTATCCATACGGTGGCCCTAAATGGCAGCAGCTGTTTGGTATGGGAAATTATAAAAATATAATCATTAAAAAGATTATGGGAACTGCAAGTACGGGTTGATTTTGGTGGGGAGGACCAGTTTCACACTTGGGAAGTGAAAACTTCATTTTAGTACTAAAAGTTTGGTCTTAGAATTCTTTAGGTTAATGAAATATAGCCCCTGATGTTTAAATATTGGAGGTTGTTTTTTAGGACCTAATTTTTACAAAAGTCTTTAGTGGCTATTAGGAGGACTTTCTAATATTAATGTCCATGTAAAATTCCAAAAATAGCAAATAAAAGAAAAGCTACTAGAGAGGTTTAAGAAATGTTAGTTGCCACCAGGGTACTTCATGTTGCATTCTGCCTCTTGTTCTTATCTCTGTTTTTGGCATAGAACAATGGGGTCATTTGTGGAGGAACAAGTCCTTACTGTCTTCCTGCATTATGAAATTAATAATAAGTTACACATCAGGAAAAAGTGTTTAAAGTGTAAAATTCCAGGTTTACGAATGATCTAGTTGCAACCAAAGCCCTCTCTTGTTCCTTTTATGCATCTAAACAGAGTCAGAATGACAATGTCATGTTAGTCCCCTTAGATACTAGGGCTCCAGAAGGTCTTTTGAGCTCCATCTGGGTGAATAGTGATATGATAGCGTTTACTGTGCACCTGTGAAATCTGTACATCTTTTGAGATCATTGGGGAGATATACACATGATCTATTTAATATTTTTGATGTCTCTTCTGACTGAAATCCTGAAGAATCTTGAAATATAGCAGAGCTGCTTTAGACTTGCAGTGATAATGAAGTGTGTTTAAAAAATACACATGTATACATGCACACTAAATGCCTTTTGAAATGCAGTCCTTGCCTGATGGGGCTTTAAAAGGAACACGTAGATGGATCATGGTATCTGGTGTACTAGGTACAACTCCAGAACTGCCTATGATTCTTCACATTTTACCTCCATGGTAAATAATTGATTTTTTTATTAGGAGACCTATTAATATATATGATTTGAGGTCCTTGATTCACTCATTCCATACTCCTAACACTTCATTGGGAAACCTAACTCAAAGTATCTGGAAACGCTGCAAGTAGGAGTATGTTGTATAATCGTTTCTGTTTCTGCTTCTGCCTCTTACTTTGCTCATTGAGACACCTTATTTGAGTCTAGCTATCACCCTGGCCAGACTTAGCTTTGTTTTCCCTACCATAACAAATACTCTTTCTTCCAAAAGCCACATTTATTCTACCCTGACTCTTAGAAATTTCCTCCAGTGGATATTTTTAAGGATAAAAGTTTCATGCTTATAAATTGTTTAAAAAAACAACAATTCTTACTGGTTTAGTGTAAATTGTACTTTAGAGTTATAGAGCTTCATATTACCCTGCTTTGTTTCCTTCATAGCATTTCTTACTATCTGAAATAGTTGGATCTTCTCTACTAGAACATGAGCTCCATGACAGCCAGAGTGTGTGTTTGCTGTTAATATTCCCTGAGTTTAGAATTGTGCCTCACACATAGTAGGCTCTTAATATGGGCTTATTTATAGGCCCTTGATATTTATGTGAAGAAAAAAATGAAGGAATGATTGAATGAAAGCCCTATTAACCACAAGGCATAGTCTTCATTCATGGATGGATAAACCATTTTCTCTTTAGCATCTTTGCAAATGAAGGAAAGTTTTCTTTTCAGGTGCTTATGCAATCAAGGCTGGGAGGGCAATAATGGACTTCAGAGTTCACTGGTAGAGAAACCCTCGGTGCTGTCCTTTTTTGCTCACCTGCCTTGGTTTGGTGTACTGAGCTTGATGAGAACCTGTCATTCAGAGGGACTATGGACAATCTTGTTTTTTGCTCAGTGTCTCTGTGGGCCTGAACCTCAAAGTATATCAGTGTAGGCCTGTCCTATATAGTAGACTCTAGGTTCATGTGGTTTTTAAATTTTAAATTAATTTAAATGATATAAAACTAAAATTTAATTCCTTAGTTGTACTGGGCACGTGCACTGGCTGGCAACATGTGGTCAGCAGCCAGCATTTTGAATAATGCAGATATTCATTTCTATCACCAAGGGAAGTTCTACCGGAGAATACTGACATAGACATTATACAATTCATAGTAGAGGTGTTCAACAGGAAAACCTGGTTTCAGAGGTTTTTGGGGAATGTTTGATTTGACTGAAGATTTAATTTTTTTTTATTCAATTATTTATTTTTGTTACAGATGTTTTTTCTATTTTCCCCACAGATAACCCCTCCCCCACCCTGCCCCCAGCTTTGTTGTCCATATCCATTGTTCATGCATAAATGCATATAAATCTGGTTTATCTCTTCCCCATACCTCTCTTCTGGGGATTGTCAGTCAGTACCCCACTTCCACGTCTCGGGGACTACCCATTCCTCAGACTATTATGTTCATTATATTCCACAAATAAGTGAGATCAAATGATACTTGTCTTTCTCTGTTTGGCTTCCTTCACTTAGGATAATACTTTCCAGGCCCCTCCATGTCGTTTAAAAGGATAAGACATCTTTCTTACAGCTGCATAGTACTCCATTGTGTATATGTGCCACAGCTTTTTTATCCATTCATCTACTGATGGACATTTGGGCTGTTTCCAGATCTTCACTATTGTAAATAGTGCTGCTACGAACATGGGTACATATATTCTTTCTGATTGGTGTTTCAGGCTTTTAGGGTATATTCCTAGAAGTGGGATCATTAGGTCAACTGAGAGTTCAATTTTGAAGTTTTTGAGGTAACACCATAATGTTTTCCATAGTGGCTGCACCAGTCTGCATTCCCACCAGCAGTGTACTAGAATCCCCTTTTTGCAACCCCTGCCAACACTTGTTGTTTGATGATTTGTTGATGGCGGCCATTCTGATAGGTGTGAGGTGATACCTCATTGTTGTTTTAATTTGCATCTCTCTGATGATTAGTGATGTTGAGCATTTCTTCATGTCTCTTAGCCACTTGTATGTCCAGTTTGGGGAGGTGTCTATTTAGGTCCTTTGCCCATTTTTTAATTGGGTTCTTTGTCTTCCTTTTGTTGAGTTGTATGAGCACTCTATATATATTGGAAATTAACCCCTTATCTGATATATCATTGGCAATTATGCTCTCCCATACAGTGGGTTGCCTTTCCGTTTTGATGATTGTATCTGTGCAGAAGCTTTTGAGTTTGATGTAGTCCTATTCATTTTCCGCTTTCTCTGTTGCCTTAGGTGACGTGTCATTGAAAATTCTGCTGCGTATGATGTCTGAAATTTTGTTGCCTATATTTTCTTCTAGGATTTTTATGGATTCATGAGTCACATTTAAGTCTTTTATCCATTTTGAGTTTATTCTTGTGTATGGTGTAAGTTGATGGTCTAGTTTCATTTTTTTGCATGTAGCTGTCCAATTTTCCAAACACCATCTATTAAAGAGGCTGTCTTTACTCCACGGTATTCTCTTGCCAACTTTGTCAAATATTAATTGAGCATATTGCCTTGGGTCCATTTCTGGGTTCTCTATTCTTTTCCATTGATCTATCTGCCTGTTCTTGTGCCAGTACAAGTTTCTTTTGATTACAGTGGCTTTGTAGTATAACCTGAAATCTGGTAATGCGATCCCTTCAACTTTGTTCTTCTTTTCCAAGATTACTGTGGCTATTTGAGGTCTTTTTTGGTTCCATATGAACTTTTGAAGTACTTGTTCTAGTTCTGTGAAGTATGTCGTTGGTATTTTGATGAGCATTGTGTTGAATCTATAGATTGCTTTGGGTAGTATGGACATTTAAATGATGTTAATTCTTCCAATCTTTGAACAAGATATGTGCTTCCACTTTTTTATCTCTTCCTCTATTTCTTTTTTCAATGACCTGTAGTTTTCTGTGAATAGGTCCTTTATTCCTTCGGTTAAGTTTATTCCTAGGTATCTTAATTTTTTTGCTGCGATGGTAAATTGGATTGTGTTTTTATTTTCTCTTTCTGTGAGTTTATCATTGATGTATAAGAATGCCGTCGATTTCTTGACGTTAATTTTGTATCCTGCTACATTGTCAAATTCATTTGTTAAGTTTAGTAGATTTTTGATGGTTTTGAGGTTTTCTACGTATAGTATCATGTCATCTGCGAATAATGACAGTTTCATTTCCTCCTTTCTAATTAGGATCTCTTTTATTTTTTTCTTCCTGTTTGATTGCTGTGGAAAAATCTTCCAGTGCTATGTTAAATAAGAGTGGCGAAAGTGGGCATCCTTGTTTTGTTCCTGTTCTATCCTCACCCGAGGACATTTCTAGATATTTTGTTCAGATAGAGTGGGAGGGAGAGAGAGGAAGAGAGAAAGAGAGAAAAATATCGACATGAAAGGGACACAGCAAGTGGCTGCCACTCGCACCACCCATCCAACCAGGGCCTGGGACAAACTGCAACGGAGGCATGCACCCTTAGAGGGAACCGAGCCCGGGTCTCTCCAGACGGCAGGCCAACACTCTAACCGCTGAGCCAAACCGGCCAGGGCTTGTTCTTAAGGGAAATGCTTTTAGTTTTTGCCCATTGAGTATGATGTTGGCTCTAGGTCTTTCAGATACGGCTTTTATTATGTTGAGATATGATCTCTCTATTCCCACATTACTGAGCATTTTTATCAGAAATTGGTTCTGGATTTTGTTGAATGCTTTTTCAGTGTCTATTGATATGATCATATGATTTTTATCTTTCATTTTGTTTATGTGGTGTATCACATGTATTGATTTGTGAGTATTGTACCAGCCTT